CAGAGTAGTTGCCAGTTAGTACCAGCTTCTGCCCATGTGCTACAAGGTGCTGGTTGCAGGCCTGGTAACACATTCAAGAGACATCCCTAGACATTCTGGTGCCTTCAGAAGCCAATCCTGGCTGCTCTGTGGTGAGCAAGCTTTCCGGAGTGCCTGGGCAGTATGGCGCAGCTGAGTTGTAATTGCTGCATGTTGGTATGGGCAGCCTACAGCTGTATGTCTTTTACAGAGCTCAGGATGAACAGACATCCGTCCCGCCTTCTCCAGCAACATGCAACTCTGTCCGTCTCACTCACAAAACCTCTCAGTGGAAAGGCAGCTGTGCAGGAATCTAGGTGGTTTAGTGGTTAACATATTGGCTCTTTAGTAAAAAAAAAGTGCCTAAGCAAAGTTTCACATTTGTTTCCAAGCACGGCTCAACATGTGTCCTAAAATGCACACAAGTACAGTATGAGAGAAGGACTTTCAATCCCTCTCGGGTAAAACAGACACCTTGTATCAGAAAGCCTAGAAATTGAGAAAATACATTTTTGACTCTTTATTACAGAGGATCACTGGTTTTTACCATGCTAGTCAGCCATGTGTAAGGTACACACTGCGAGGCTGCACATTTGTTAAGAAAAGGCTAGATTCTCCAAATGGTCTCCTCCCATTTGCAGCCTGTCGTATGTTATTATTATGCTATTAAAGGTATTTATACTAATGGGCACCCATCCCTGGCACTTCTGTCCTGTAACCTACAGTGAAGGATGCATTAAGGGTGCTGCTGTGTTCAGCCATTAAAGTAACAGTTTAGCTGTGCTTCACTCCAGCGAAGCCTTGTGATGTGCAGATGTACTGGCAATAGCTCTGGCTAGTCAGATACCCTGAGGCGAGGCCTGCGCAAGTCAAACAATTTCCCTTCCGCCTTTCAGACTCTCAGAGGAACCGCAAGAGGGGACTCATTAGCGTAACACAGCCCCCCTCGGGCAAAACAAATGGGGGTGGAGCGGTGGTTCTGTGGCTAAGGATCTGCGCCTGTGGCTGAAAGGTTGCAGGTTCAAATCCCGCAGCCAGCAGAGGAGTCCTACTCTGTTGGGCCCCTGAGCAAGGCCCTTAACCCCAACTGCTCAAGGGGTGCTGTACAATGGCTGACCCTGTGCTCTGACCCCAAGCTTCTCTCCCTATCTGTGTGTCTCATGGAGAGCAAGCTGGGGTATGTGAAAAGAAAAATTCCTAATGCAAGAAATTGTAAAGGGTTAATAAAGTGATGTTATTATTATTATTATTATAAATTCAGAAGGTTCTGATCCAGAGGACAGCGGTCAAGACCAAACGTGATCCACGGACCCCCGTATTAACGATTTGAACTCGCTCCAACCCCGACTCCCTCATTTGATAATTGACAAGGATATGGTGACAAATCAATTATTTCCTGTTTCCATTGGTATAAGCTAAGCTTGCCGAAGGCCTGCTAATATAAGCAGTACTTTCCTGAAGACCCTGCAAATTGTGTGAATAAGTCAATGTACACCAGCCGGCTATATGTCTCTATGGCTTTTGGGAATTTGGGAAAAAAAATCTGAATTAGGATTGACAGTTTTAGGATTGGGAAAAGCTAGTCTACAGGACAAGGAATTAACCTGATTGTTTTAAACCACAACTTACTGCGTCTGTCTCCTATGATACTCTCACTATTTCATTTACCCAGTCTAGGCGCTTCTTGTAATTCCGGCTCTCCTGGTAAGCAACAGGTACCAGGCTGGGTGAACCCTGAATGGGACACCAGCCCATCACAGGGAAGACAGACACAGGCATGCACACACTCACACCTGGGCCAGTTTTCCCAGAAGCCGGCATGTCTTTGGACTGTGGGGGGAAACTGCAGCACCTGAAGGAAACCTACTTGAACACAGGGAGAACATACACCCTCCACAAAGGAGAGCACCTCAGAAATTGAACCCAGGGCCCCAGCTCTGCAAGGCAACAGTGCTAACCACTGTGCTGCCCACCCTCTCTATTATTAATTGTTAATCTATGTGACTCACTGCAGGTAATTATTATTTGAATATATTATTAGAATGGTGAAAAAAAACAGCAGAGCCCAGGTTCAAACAAACAATACAAAGGTCTCAAACAGTATGCTGAACACGTAGCATTACTTAATGAACTATCATGGAGTCTCTTGATTTGATTTTCAACCCCCCCAGTTTGAAAAAAATTAGATGAAAATGTTAATTCTTGACATTTCACGTTCCGTCATTCTTCGGCTGTTAAATCCACAACAGCAAGGACTTGTACTTTGAGCTCACTCACATTTGTGGGGGGGGGTTCTCAAACAAATTGAATATCCCAAGAGACATTTCTAGATTATTTGTTTCTTTTTTTGTAGCAAAGCGTCTATTTTGCTTTGTGGCAATTGTTGCGGGACCAATTTTATTACAGTGAATAATCTGTGACCGTCTAGTCCTGTTTTCAGTTTTGACAGCTGAACACCAAAACACTAGATCATTTTCCAGTCTGGTCTTAATCTATTCAGACTCATTGGTGGGATATACATGTACAGTACAGTATATATTTACAACATAACCATTATTTGGTGTTCGTAGTGCCTACCTTTGCGTAAATAGGAACAGTCACAAATTGATGGGTTTTGAGTGTTTGCATTGTTTGAGACTGCTCCTTTTAGTGCTGCATGCTGTGTCTCCATGACAAAGCTGCTCGTTTTGAGCCCCGGGAGTGTGGCAGAATCATTCAGTCTGAAAACATCAGTGTTAATTTTCCCCCTCTTTCCTCTTTACATCCATCCACTTCCTTCAGCCTCCCCCCCCAGTTCCCTGGGGTATCCCTTCCCCCCACACCTTTCCAAATGTTTGGAGCATTCCCCAAGTCACCAGCCACCCGTCAGCCCCTCCACCACCACCAGACCACATGGGACTGAGCCAAAACATTCCAGTACATTGGAACATCTCAATTACCTTCTTCATTTCGTAATTTGCTTTCCCAGGCCCAATTGTCTGTTATCAAGTATGTAATTGAGAGCTCACTTGGAACGAAAATCAGAAGACTCAGGGGTCCTAATGGAGAAGGGTGATCTTCAGCTCCTCGTTACCTGCCCTGCTGGTACAGTACATGGCTTTAACCTTCGGCTTTCCAGACCACGGCCTCACAGCAGCGCCTGACTTCGGGGGTGCGCACTGATACTGCCACCGGAGAAGACTGCTTCTATTTCTGCCCGAGGGCATGAGGAACGATTTCAGCCCAGTTGAGAAAGCCCGACCCCCGCGATGGCTAACGTTACCTCTGAATTCTAGAGGGCGCAATAAATAAAAATCATAATTTATATCGCGCCTTTAAAGTGGCTTCAACAAACGCGAGAGGTTGCAAAAATGAGATGCCCCCCTCCGTCGACGGAGTTCAAATAGTTTTCAAACTTTTGTACACGGCAAGAATGGAAGTTGTTTCAGTCTCTGCTTCTTTCATCTCGCTTTAATGACACATGAGAGCTCGCTTAAAGCTGCGCTCAATGCAAAGACTAGTTTCTTGGTGTGTCTCTTGGCTGTACATTTTGACCCAATTCTATATTTCCCTTTATTCACTGTGTTGAAAAAGCCAAGCATATTTTTTCATGATGCTCAAACTTTAACCCGCGTCCCCGAACCCATATTATTATAAAGATGGGTAAATTTGAATTTGACTTCCAAGAATTCTACAGCTAATTGTGAAATAAAACAGTTATGTAGAACAGAAAACGTGAATTTACAAGGACAACCCAACCCTGACACCCGAAACCTGGTTCTGTTTTTTTTTTCAAAGCTGCGAAGATGTTTTATTTTATCACTCTATTGGTCTAATTTAAAATTAAATGTAATGTCTGAAAAATATCGCCCTCGATCTGTAATACGTTTTTATCTTCACAGTATAAATGGAAATCAAACAGCCAGCCCCCAGTTTCTTCTCGTGAAGGTTTTAGCGTCAAACTCTCAAGTTGAGTCCCATGCCTCAGAGACTTACTGAAATCTGTCATAAAACGAGGCTGGCTTTTAACAACAGGAACAGAACTGCATCTAATTGAGGTCCTATAAGTTTACACACCTCAGATGATTAATTACTTCTCTGACCGGGTAACCGCGGGCTGCACGCGAAATCCAAACCGTGACAAATTAATCAAGAGATTTGGAAAAATGTACCGTTTTATGGGCGTGCTGAAATACGACCATAGGTGAGAGCTATCAATACATTTATTTGTAAAAAACTACAGTTAATACATCTTGATATCCGATGCTATTCTCACTCAACTAGTTACAGTACATCAGAATTATTTACTCCAAAACAACGACGTATGTGTATCAAACGATTATGGTCTACGGGTTACACCGTGATAACATCGAGGTGAAATATCATTTCTTTGTTTCATTTGTTTCAGTGAAATAATTTGGGTTTTTACAGCCAGGGGTTACAATTCGATGCAATGAAACAATTCTAAGTTTGAGTACCACATTGTTTTCAGTCATTATAAGCGAGTTGATGCAAGTAATGTCTTCCCTTACCTATTTTGCCTTTGGGTGTCTTTGAAAACCACAGTGTACGGAAACTAACCGAAATCCCATGTTGATTTAAATATTTAAAACGATCTCAGGTCAATATTCTAACGTTAAACTGAGATTACAGCACTAACTCAATTCATTTCAAAATGGTCATTTGACTGCAGTCTTTGAAGCGGTTTTTAAAACCATTTAAAGCCACCAGGTAGCATCATTTTTGATAACAAGGAAACATGCTTTTAAATAAGCTATCAAGTTGGACAGAGGCGCAGACGTCAAAAATAGAAGGGGTAATAACTGAATTTTAGAACTGCAATACGTTTATTACGATCACGTAGTAAGATATTTTGGAAGCCGGTGAATTACACTAAATAAGAACAAATAATCTAAATTGTACACGGTCTGCACCGTTAAACGTTACGCTTCTTTTAATCTTCGATTTTTGTAACTTGATAGAGATATAACAACGGCTCTTACCTCTGAACGCCGCTCTCCCACGCCTGGGCTCTGTTATCTGTGTCTCCGTGTCCCCTAGAGTCCCGCTACAGGAGCGCCTGTAACTCTGTCAGCCGCATCAGCTGAGACCTCCGCAGCGACTGACTGCAGTTGGCTCATCAGCCCTCGATACTTGTGCTCTGCTCCAGTCTCTGCGTTCTCGCTCAGTGCCAGCCGGATAGCTCCTGGGGTCAGCGAAACGTTAGCTGCAAGCCGGGACAATCCTCTGCGAACGAGGAGTGGGCAGGTACGCTTGCTGTAAACCGACGCCTCTTCCCACCTACCTGTATGGGCTTCCGCGGTGAGAAGGGGGCACTGTTGTTGGAAACGCATTTTCCAGCTACTGTTTTAATTCCTCGTTCCCGGCGTTGTGTGGCCACTGCAGTTACTGTGTTTCCTTACGGGACGAACCCGTCATAAGCCTCCACGTAGCTCTCGCAATAAAACAGAGACTTGGGATCCCGGAGAGGCAAATAAAGAAAATAGCGCGTTAAAGCAGTTGGCCTTTGAGCCTTTCATTCTTGACATGATATCAGCTCCGGGGATCAAAAAATACAATCTTGCTGTTCATTATTCGTTTTAAAGTCTGAACATATTTAATGTTTTAACATGTTTAATAGCTCTTTAGCCGTATTAGTTAGGAAAGCCACTTATAAAACTCGAATTTGATAATTTTATACCGAATTAATTATATGAAATATCATGTAATATTAGTTTTACAGTTTCAACACATTTGAAAGCATTTATGAGAACATATATCATCCACCCTCTAAGACAATCACAGCTCTCTAATGCTGACCCGTTACTTTGAAACAATCTTTCCCTTACGTAGTTGGTTCTCTGACTACATCTCCGTTTAATTTTAAGTATCAATCAAATGCGAGTCAGGTTTCTTGCTAATTATTCGTGCTGCGCTGTCTTCCTGTCCTGTTATACAGCAAATTAAATATTTTTAACTTTTGAAAAGAAAGTCTACCATCGAGTCTGAAGAGAACTAGTCTGCAGCAAACGTTTCTGGTTTTGTCTTCTTGAACTATTCACTTGAAGTGGCACAATATTTCTTAAGCAACTTTCTATTGAAATCTGGTTTGTTTCTTTGTTCTTGAAGAGACCAGAAGAGACTTGTCGCATTTGCAGTAATGATTAATAATAACTGCAATGTTTTTTTTATAAGTGAAATACCAAGGCCAGCACAGAAATAAATAATTAGAAGTTCAAAACACTTTGGTAAGTGATTTATACTGTGCACAGCTGGGTCCAAGGACATTGCTTTAATTGAATCGTATATCACAGTACAAATATGACCATTGGGTATATGATGACCGCTGAGAAAAGTTAGTTTTGAGAACATTTTCTTAACTAGCATTTGAAGCACTCAGTGTAAGACATAATCAGTCCTGAATGAGCTCATTCTCACAACGCAGTGCAGCATGCCAGTGTGAGAGTTCTCAGGACACAGAGATCCAGGTAGAGCTTTATCTTGAGCTCTCATCTACATAAGCTGCAGACATCGCGCAGAGCCAAGCCAGTAAGAAACCTTTTGGTGTCTGCTGGAAGGGGGAAGAAGGCAAGGAGTTAGTTTGACCTTTTTAACTGGGGTCTTTGAGATTTCAAACAAGTCAGACCACAGATGGTCAATTTCAGCCCTGAAGAGTGCAAGCACTGACTTGTACGGATTTTCCAAGCTGGTACGTTGTGAAACTGTGGCCTAACTCTTGAAGGCTGCGGGTCTTGTAGCTCGTCATATCAATCTGACCTGAATACTTTTATGAAACCAGGAATGCTTGGGGCTCTTCTCTGAGTGGCAGTGGCTGAAAATCCTTTCTCTGTGGATAATGCCTGCCAATTGACCTGCTAATGAAAATAAACCACTTTTGTATCTTCTGCTTCACTGTAGTCATGGGTTTTCCTTGTTTCGGTCAGAAGGCCAGGCCTACAGTTGTGTGAAACGTGGTCATGTGTTGAAATTGCCGCTATCATGATCTCTTATCAGTCCTGCTGGATCCCTCTGGCCACCTTGTTTGCTAACCTATCTGGCAGAATGTAGCTTCTCTAGAAAAGCACAATACAGCCTGCGTGGTCCAACTGCCTGATTTAAAGCAAGGAACAGGAGTTAATGTCCAGCTTCTGTTTCAAAGGAATCTCTTTGAGGGTCTCCCTCCTGAAGGTCCCAGACCATGAGATCATGAGGAGTGATTGTGTAATTGCTGAAGTGTGCCTTATGTGAAGCAAGGGGCCAGAGTTCAGGTGGTACTGTTGCAGAACAAAGAAGTTTGAGAAAGGAAGTTCTTCACATATTAAAGGCACAAGACCCATTTGACAGAGACATAGGGTTTTGGAAGGAATTTTTAATTGGAACAACATGTTTCAGATACCGGCGGTATCAGTTCCTTTTCTGCAACGGATACTTGCAGGCCTGCAAGTGGATGTTTGGAGTTTGTCTGAAGTATACAGCGTGACATGATCTGTGAATTCACCCTGAAGGTGCCAGGATTCTTCCCTCAAAGAATAACAGAAGCTTTCTATCGTGAAAAGCCTGAGATAAGCCCTGAGAGCTGCACATCTCACACACCTGTTTCTCATTTTTCACCTTCTTACTCACACGGGGAATAAAGCTGCGTTTATTTCTGTAGTGGAGAAACACACGTTTTCTCTGGATATTAAATTTACAGAGCTTGTGAAAATGTGTTCTTAAAGGAATGTGACTGTGCATGGGAGCAGCCAGGACTAAAAGCTCTTGATGAACTCTGACAAGGTCAATGACACTTTTATTGGTACCCTATCTGTGTTTATAATAAAGTGTCTGTATCATTTAACTCAGCTGCAGCAAAGATATTTCATTGCATACCTTATTTTTTTATATCAGGCTTTCATACCAACCCAAGAACAGGTGAGCCAGAAACTGCAGTGTTTGTGCCTCCTTCTCTCTGTGCTTTGTGTTGTGTCCTATACATCTCTCTGTGCAAAGGCTATCTTCTCAATACAGAAAGCCTCTTGTACACAGTATTACACTGGCAAATTCTGAAAGTTTTGTTTCGTAGCCTTAAGGATGTGAAACACTGGAGTGGACTATTTTTTTTTGGTCACTTTCAATTTATGTACACAGCTGAAATAAATTATTCACCATTTATTTTGAAAAGAAAAATATATGCATTACAAATACACAAATAGTATATATGACTACAGTATATGGATGTAACAAAGACATTCATGTGGATGCAATAACGCCTAACCAGCTGTTTTGGAAATGTGCTGTTTGAGTGTGTTTTTGTGAAGCATGGCTATTTTAAGGACAAACCAGAGCTGTGACTAACATGTTGATATTATTTCTCTTTTGAAGCAATTTAACATATCAAAATATCCACTTCAGGGCAAGAAAATAACACAAATGTGGACCTCAAAAGTAAATGAGTCAAAAACAAGCATTTTCATGCTCCAAGACATTGTTCCGTCACTGACTGGAGATAATCTCCACTGTGCCAGGAAAAGGCAGTAAATGCTTAAATGCCTGCTGGAACAGTGTCACGTTGCAGGAGGAAGACAGAAATGCTTTGAAAAATTAGTACCTGTCATTACCTGTTTGCCAGTGCAACAGTGGTTCCTAAAGAAAAATATGTCGTCGTCACAAAACTCAGCTCTCCAATCTCACTGCCCAGTTTTTGGTGTTCTCGTAGTCAGACAGGTACTGTAATTGCATTTCAACAGCTGCACCTCTCTCTGACAGTAACCCAAGATGGCACCTCCTGTCTGTACTGGAGCGCTGGCAGCCTAACTTCCTGCTGGAGAGGCCATGACCTGCTTGCATCTGTTCCCGTAGCACGGTATTTAGTGGAGCGTGGCCATATTTTTCTGTCTCGTGAGCTGTAACTGGAGTAGATGACAAATCCAAATATATTCCCCCCCCCTTCATCAGCTGCTCTGTTCCTTTAAACAATAAAAAACTTTTAAACCTATTCCGTCATAGGATGGTGATGTTCATATCAAAAGTATATCTTTTCAAGCCAGGGCCTGATATGTTTCTACCTGGTGTGTTACCTAGGAAACAAGGTTTTCAGGTTGTTTAACGGTGCAGGTCTTTGACCTCCAGAGAACATTCCTTCATCTACATGGTCTGTTTTGCCTGGCCGAGGCCTAAGAACTCACAAACATCACACAGAGCTCATTTCAACAGAAAGGTTAATGGATTATGCCCAGAGTAACACAGTGCGTTTCCTCTTCAGGTCTGACACACAAACAGCAACAAAATGTCTCACTTTTCATGAAGCTTTTTGACAGTTCTTTCTGAAGAGAGAAGAAACCTTTAGAAGATCTCATGTGTTTAGCCTTTGTTTCCTCCCCAACTTAGAGGTCTTCTTTACTTCAGTTTATTTACAATTCATTCCACAGCTTGTTTCAGACAGTTTACCAAATCAGAGTACACCACACTGAGGGTTAATACAAGAAAAACTAACAGAGAGCTCAGACCTCTCACCTTCAGCAGGAGGCTTTGCAGAGGCTTCAGTGCTGTTTATATGAACAATGTCCTCTTAATCCTGGCCTTCACTCCGTGATTTGTCTCTGGGAAGTGTTTATTTTTAGTTCTCTTTCTTTGAATAAGTCTCTGTCCTGTTATGACCGCAAGAGGATCATGGATTGACATTTCATTGATTCTGTTTGGTGTTTCCAGGTTTTATTTACCGGGGAAGTTTATTTTCTTTGTCAAATCAATGTCTGTCAGCTTCATGTCCTAGTTACAAGTGAATTGTCTCGGTATATATCTCACCAACCATTGCTTGTATTTCAAATAAAACAAACATTAATACACTCTGAAACATCCTTGTAAAAAGTCTTTAGGGAAATAGCTGTCCAGGCTAATGAAGAGGACAAATATGATATTGTAACCAAAAACCAGATGAGTGTGGATGATAGTTCAGCCAGGCACAGCTCTGTGAGAGGAAATGCTTTTATTTTACAAAGCTCATATCCTTGGTTGTGAGACAGAGAAAGGGAGGGTATTGAGGGGTAAAAGGCAGGGGGTAAGACTGCTTATTTTACGAACAAATGGCTTTTATAAGAGTCTTGATGGTCAGTAAGTTAAAGACCCAGCAGAAAAAGACCTTATGTGTTGCTATGCTTTCATTACATCAGGAGTTGCTGGCCCTAGTTATCTGAAAAGCTTTTCTTTTCCTCGTTTGGTTGATTAATGACACCTTGAGGGGTGGGAAGTAATGTGAAAGCTTTCTTCCTGGCCAGGAACATTTGTACCATTTGCTTGAAGCTCATTCCTCTGATTTCTTACTTATTAGCCATGTGGTGGCTATTTAGAGGTGGAAAGTGATCAGTTGGGACACAGAGGATTCATTTTCGTCCGAGTCAACTGCAGCTGACAGGAAAGTATTTAATACCTAAAGGGCTTGGGCCTAGTGCTACGTTATGAGAGCATTCAATCTTGTTTTATAATAGCACACAGCCCCTTTATATTAGATTGAAAACCCTTGACTTTACAATAATATAAACCTGTCACAGCTTGAAGTGCATGAAAGAGAAGAGACCCAGGCACACAAGTAACTGGTAGAGTGGACTTGTCATGCAGGTCCAGATGAAGACGCTCATGAGCAAGGCTGATACTCGTATCACAGTCATGTGGCTGTGATAATCACCCACATTGTGTGGTTTGTGTGACAGAGTCACACTTGTATTATATGTATTGAAAACTGTTATAGAAGTGTTTAGTTTGCAAAAAAAGAGGAAAGTGTCATGTTGTGTACGTTTGCGTGGTTTCCTTTATTAGTATGAGAGAAAGGTTGACCGAAACAATTGTGGTTTACACAGAGTGTGTGTGTGTTGGGATAGAGGGTGTCCATGTTGATTTGCAAAATTTCTCTTTATTTTCATAATTAGATCTTTCTCCAAACCTCAACACTTTTTTGCTTTTTTGTTGTCTCCACTGTCCAAAGGCCTTGTGCTGAAAACACAAAACCAGAAGAATGCAACTGCAAATGCAGAAGAAAGAGTCTCGGTGCCAAATTCAGAGCCTTGAAGTGAGTGCTCGATATTGTTGTGTGTTGCTATACGGTCATGTCAACCATTTTGACTGTCATCTCAGATTGTGCACACCTCCTAATGGACCCTGCACCCCAGGGTCTCATAAAATACACCATGGTTCTCACTTCAGCTGAGAATTAATTACTTACAGTAATTGAAGCAAGTAGTAAGCCTCTATCACCTTTTCTGATCTTAATCAGTTGATAATTTTTTGGGGCTACTTTATAGAATGTTTTATTGCTACAATTATAATTTTGCTTTTTAGTTGTGGAAATCAGGGCTTTGTGATGCCTCTGGTAACAAGATCAGATCTCTCACCTCCCCTCCATCCACACATTTTCTAATCCTCCTTATCCAGTTCGGGGTCGCAGGGGAGCTTGAGCCTAACCTGGCAAGCAATGGGCGTGAGGCAGGGTACACCCTGAACAATGCCAGTCTATCGCAGGACAGACATACAGACACGAACACAGACTCAAAGACACACTCATGCCAGGGCTAATGTGACCAAAGCCCCACTAACCTACCAGCATGTCTTTAGACTGTGGGAGCCAATCAGAGCACCTGCAGGAAATCCATGCACATGTGGCGAGAACATACAAACTTCACACATTTAGTACCCTACCAATTGAACCCAGAGCCTCAGCACTGTGAGACAGCAGTGCTAATCACTGCCCCTTCATGCTGCCCCCAGACACCCTCCCTGATTCTTTATTGATGGAAAGCTTGCAAGTCCTTAACACTGTAAGTGTTTTACATTAGGACTCAAAACAGTTGAAGGTTCATGAGACTAAAAAAAAAATGCTGAGCAAGCAGTTTTATAGTCAGGGCTATGCCACATAAATTTAAGAAAATATATAGTACTTCGTATTTTCATAAAGGGAAATCTGAACTATTTATCTTTTCAGTGTTAATCCACTTTCAATTTGCACATTGTTTAATCTTATTTAACTGATACATGTTCTAATAGCAAGGGCAGGAGGCATAGCACTATACTGATTTTCTTCTAACATGTAAAGATATTTTTGCATACTAAAGTACACAGGCTTTTCACTTGCAAACAACAACCCAGCAAGCTTTTTCTGAAACATCTCAATTTTTTTGAATCAGTTTTCCTAACCTCTCTTATAAAAAATCTTTAGGTCATTGGATAATCTGTTTAGTGCACAATTGTTGCACATTTAATGTGAGCTTGTTTATTAAGGTCACTTAAATGATTTGGTTGGTATGGTTAGATAGATAGATACTTTATTGATCCCGTGAGGGAAATTGCAGTGCAACAGCAGCTTAACACAGACAACACAGCCACAGTGTAACAATTATATAATAATAGTACAATACATACAATACAATACAAGAGTTACTCACAGTCCGGACACACAAGAGCAAACTAGAACAGAACAGTACACAGAAAAATCATATCGCACATATGAATATAAATATAGATGTAAATATAGATATAGATATAAATATAGATATAAATGTGTTGCACAGGTCCCTGGCATATATTGCACACAAAAAAAACGGTTGTAAACGGGAGAAAGAAAAAGAAAAAGAAAGAGAACAGATGTAGCAGTAGATGTGTAGATGCGTTCAGTCCAGAAACAGGTCACTGTCAATGTTGCCTCTGCCCAGATGCAAGGTCATGCGTTGTACAGTCTTATGGCAGAAGGCAAGAATGACCTCCTGTGGCGCTCCCTGTCGCACTGTGGATGGATCAGTCTATTGCTGAACGTGCTCTTCATTTCTGCAAGCCTATCATAGAGGGGATGGGAGAAATTGTCCATGATGGCCTCTAGTTTGGACATCTAGTTAGTTTTCTCCTCTCAGCCACTACCTCCAAGGGGTCCAGGGTTAACAGAAGACACAAGGTTCATGTACACTGTGTCTCAGTGACTCAGGTGAAGGGCTTGTGAGAGAGATAATTTCAGCTCACACCTTGGTTCGTACATAGATTCTGTGTTAATTGGCCAAGTAACTTATTGAACCGCTCTACGCTCTGTCCTTATGGGTATTTTAAAACTGTGTTCCTATTGAGTGACTCTGTAGTAGTTGATAAAAAATGTATGCCAAAGACTATGCTCAATATATTATTATAGCCAAATGAAAAGATAATTAAAGATCACTATTATTTAGGAGAGTAAATCATTAGGCAGGTTTGGTAGATTTTCACATGGTTGTTTTGATCCACATCCTTGAGTCACACACACCTTTGCATTGTATTGTAGTGTCAGTTTCTAGGAGCCCTCTGGAGTCTGAATGTGTTGATTTACTCAAGTTATCACTGAGTAAAAACCGATTTCAGACTGAATTATTACATATAAACTTGAACCTATCTTCTCTTGTCCCAAAGTACTTCTGAGAAGATATATTGGTGTACACAAAAATAAGTTTGTTTCTCAGTCATGTGCTTTTCATGTCCATATTGTGTTATTCCCCTGCCCTGAAGTGAATATTTTTGTGTGTTAAATTGTTTTTAAAGCAGAAAAAAATGTCAACATGTTGGTAACAGCTTTGGTTTCTTCTTAAAATAGCTATGCTTCAGAAGAAGACTCGAAAATCGTATTTCGGAGACTGCTGCTGGGATGTATTTGCCTTTTGAGTTTCAAAGTTAAAATTTTGTTTGTTTCACAGTGTTACGTATGTTATTTGTTATATTTATGCTTAGATTATTGGTTTTGAAAAAAAATCAGTTCTATATTTTACCTGTGTGGACAAATTGAAAATAACCAATTAAAATAGCCCAATCTAGTGTTTCACATCCTTAAGACTTTGAACCAAAACCATAGGAATCTGCAAGTGTAATGCTGTATATTAGAGCCTTTTTTTGTATTTAGAGCCATACAACAGCCTTGTACAGTATGTATTGAGAAATCATATTGAGAAGACAGCCTTAACACAGAGAGGTGTGTATGACACAACTCCAAGCACACAGAGGAGGAGGCACAAACACACCAGTTTGTGTCTAACCTGGTCTTGCACATTTGGTTGGTATGAAAGCCTGATATTCATATTCATATGGATGCAGAAGCATGTTGGGAATTCTGGATAGGTCCCCTGTGCTTGGGAGGGTTAGCTTTTATGGCACAGATTCTGTAAGAATTGTAGAATTTTCACGTTTCCCGTATCTATAAAGACTCTTGTGTGGTCATTGTCATCTTCACTGTTAGGTCCGATGATATACTGTATCATGTAGAACTAAAACCTATACGAATAGTTCCTGTGATTACAATGAATCTATAAGCTACAGTATGTAGACTGGGATTCTGGTAGCATTCTAGCTTCTGTTTTTTTTTCTTTCTCTGCTTCCTTTCTTACACATTTGAGACAAATACCATACAGTTTCTTAAGTCAGCCATTAGAGAAAGGTCGTACTGCTCAGAGTGGAGATCATTGTTTCTGCACAGCTACAGTACATGATTCAGGAGTTCTTTACTTCTTTTCAATTCCAAGCTTTAGAAGATTGTTTTCTTTTTATTTATTAGATATCTTTTACTATGGTGGTACAGTGGTAATCATTGCTGCCTCTCAGTGCTGGGGTCCTGGGTTCAATTCCAGACTGGGGTGCTATCTGCATGGGGTTTATATGTTCTCCCTGTTTTTGAGTGGGTTTCCTCCAGGTGCTCTGATTTGCTCCCACGGTCCAGAGACATACTGGTAGGTTCATTGGCTTCTGGAAAATTAGGCCTGGAGTGAGTGTGTGTTTGTGTCTGTGTGTACCCCGCAATGGACTGGCATCCTCATCCAGGGTGTACCCCGCCTTGTGTCCATTGCTTGCTGGTTAGGCTCTGGCTCTTCCATGACGCTGAACTGGACGATGCCATTTTAAAATGGACAGATTTTTCTTTTATTAATTTAAGAAGTATGAAAATTCCCCACATATTATACGGTTATATCAAGCAGGTGCTACGAAAGTAAAAAAAAACTTAAGCTATTTCACAAAAATATACTTCTTCCATTTCTTTTGCTCTTAACAGGGGCATTTATTATTAAATAAAATGTACATCACTCAAAGACAGCTGAATAAAGGCAGCCTAGTGACAAGAGCTGAAAATGAAGTGCATTATAGCTATACTAATTCACTGAAAAAAGCCCAGGGACTGTGTTCTGTGTATTTTGCTGACATTTTGTTAGACTCCAGACTAAGCAAACCGCCTCTGTACCTGGCACAGACTTTCACATAGCTGTGACCTTTTCTGTGTTTCATATTGTTTTGAATCCGTTTGGTGAGAAATACCATTTGTTCCTCTTGTTATGGTTGGTCCTTGTACTCTTATTGCTTTTTTAACAGACTCCCAGATTCCCTGTAAAAGTGTGTGCCCTCTGATATCAGGGACTTGGCTTGTTTGGAGCTCTGGAGATAAGGGCTGTGTAAAAACTCAGTTATTTCCACTTTCCCAGCAAGGGTTTCTTTCACCCTTAGTTTGTAGGGTGAGGATCCATGATTTACAGTGAGCCCCATAAAACGTGAAGCCACTTGTCTGAGAGGAGTCGACTTTGCAATGAAAGTTCACGGTTTTCAACCACTGCCTTAACAAATTCTGTTATTTGTTGGAAGGTTGAGACAGTTTATCCTTCCACTATCAGAAAGTCTCTTATCCTAGAAAGGGCTGGGGCATGAGGCGAGTTATTGTGAACCAATATCACCTTAAGTACACAGTGCAATGTTTGCCTTATTAAAAAATAATATTTGTACTGGAATATCTCTCAGGGAATAACATTCTCCGATGCTATGTTTTCTGCTATTGGCAGCAGGTCCAGATAAACAGTTTCTCACGAAAGCATGCAGCTTACGTCAGAGACTGTATTATCAGCAGAAAAGGTGCTTTTCTGAAATGTTCTTTGTCCCTTCGGTACATATTTCAGGGAGCAACTATAACGGGGGGTTTGTCTAATTTGACTTTTGAAAGCTGTTTCAGCTTTTGAAAAAGGAAACAAAATATCTGGGTTACCTTAGAATTTGTTTATAGGTGTCCATTAAAAAAACATACCCAAATTA